AATGCTGCAGTAATAAGTATCACGCTGCAATGAAATTTAGCATGTTTAACACACTATTCATGAAAACGTAAGTGCCATTCTTTTGCACGCTAATAGTAAGTTGTCATTTTGTAGGCCAAAAAGTGCTTGGATATTGGCAATAGTGTATGGTTCAACCCAGTATCATCATTAGCTGAGAGATACACTGGAGTATTCTCTGGAATAATATGCTAATCTCGTGTGGCTTTCAAGAATACATTTGCTCCCTTGTTCGATTATCAATGGTCCCAGAAATATTATCTCATTCGTTAGACTCACGGGAATATTTTAATGATGGTCAGTAATTGCCTTGAGTTCCAGGGCTGTGCTAGTTTCATATGATTACAAACAAGTGTCTTATCAATGTTTGGTGTCAAAGCTGGTTATAGTTCCAGAAAGCCAGATGACATTCTTATAATTCAAGAACGCACAAATTCATAGTAGAATGCTGTGAACTTTGATTCAAAAGCCATCATTGTCATGGAAACTAACTCATAATTTTATGAGTAATTACCTTTATTATCTCTATGGGTATAAGCCTCTTAGAGCTCTAGTTCTTAAGTATTAGATTGTTCTTGATTAAAACTATATATTCAATTTCCTTTCCTTATGTACATTCTATTATTGACTACAAACTAACTGAAAAGCAAAACTGAGTATGAATCCAAACACTACTTCTATTGTAGATTTCTATTTCTTTAATCCTGCAGGTAATAATAATATGTTAGGATTAAACACATAGGACCCAACATTCAGTTCACCCTAATCTAAACAATTCAAGTTATTCATCAGTTGTCAACATGACTTGACTGTTTACAAAAGTGGCCATTAATGGAAAAGTGAAATTTTATTATTGACGAAGCGATTGTTTAGTCACATAATATGGCACATACAGAAGCAGTTCTCATGAAGGTATTTGTTAAATGATCTCTTGGCCTGAATTGATGTTGAAATTGCAGAGACTCTCAGATCTATGACAGTGTACTTGCCAAGGGCATTCAATTTCCTGTGGACGTTGACCAAGAGAACTTGTACAAAAATATAAAATAAATGTACAAGAATATTCCAGAAAAAGGACCTCATGGTGGACTCATTCTCATAGTGGTTTGACATATTCTTAGTTCCATCTCAAGCTTCTGTTGCAATAATCACAGCTCTGTGATAACTATTTACAACCCACACATTGCCAGACATAACTGTTTGTAAGTGTTCATTTGCTTCTTTTGCATTTACATAATTGGTGGATCTTATCCAAGTGTCTGGGGAATGTTGCACCTCATCATTGACAAGCAAAAGAACAGGCTAGCAAGTAGTGGTGCCGGTCATAAAGGCCATATTAAGTCAGTTGTTGGAGGTATTAGCTTGCTTCCAGTCAATAAAATAATTAACTTTACTTAAAGCAGTGAAGTCTAAAGATGTGCCTTATCTTTTCTCATCCACATCATCCATGTTTCTACTTCTCTTGCTTCCCCATTTCCGAACACGATAAGCAACTGATAATTTTTTTTTTAATAAATGAATGTGTTGAAGAAATGTCTGTAACACATAAAAATATACTTTGGATGCAGTTATAATCTATCTAAATCTCACCCCTCCTTCCTTGATCTTTACTGGAAACATTAGTTTTTCCTGGGAGTTATAAGGCTAGAGGTCTGCAGCCTGTGTATATTCCTATCTTAAGATATATCCAAAGACATTTAAAAATTTTTAAGTTTTATTTGTCCTTTTTATTTATTTGCACTCATAATTATTTAATTAAATACCATTTTCTTGCCAATGGTCAATATATTTAATGATAAAACACTAAAGCCATTGAAGATTTTATGTAACAAAAAACAAAGTCTCCTCTCACTGTTTTTACTTAACATTTCTTTTGCAATACTGGGCAATGTAATAGGAGACCAAAAGTAATAAAACATAGCTATTGAACGATGCAAAGATAAAAAAACTATAACTTTTCTTACTTTGGTTTTCTAGGTAGAAAACAAAATCAACAAAATAAAAGACATAACCAGAGCAGTGATTAGAAATAGTTTAGAACTGTGGTTCTCAAGATGTGGTCCCAAGGCCATCTCAGAGGTTTGATGAGGTCAAAGCTGTTTTCCTAATACTAATAAGATGAGGTTTTTTTGTCTTTCCGCTCTCATTCTCTCATGAATGTACAGTGGATTTTTCTAAAGGCTTTGTGAGGTCGTCTCCCAATGTATTGAAGGCAGAAGCCTATATTAGAATCTGTTTTCTATTAACCCAGGCATTTAAGAGATTTTTCAGATTATAAAGCAATGCCCATTTTCTCACTAAACATTTGTTAGTTCTGGAAAACAAAGTTATTTTTTGTAAAAATAAGTTACTTATGTTAACATATAATGGGATTGTTATTTTTGCATGAATTAATCAAAACATTTCAAAAATTAGAAATTCAAATATCATAAATATCAATAGTTATAACTCACATGTACAGAAGCTCATGGATGTCTTTAATAATTCTGAGGACTGTAAAGTAGTTTTGAGGTTTAAAAAACAGAATTGCTGGTGCAGAGAATGGGCAATATATAACATTAATCCGTTAGAATTTAAAATGGAAAATATGAAATACCTAAGAATAACTTTATAGACCTATGTGAAGTTTATAAAAATACTCTGTTCAGGATATTAAAGGGGACTCAATGAATGGAGATTCATACTGTGAAAATTTCACTATTATAATAGTGTTCATTCTCCTTAATTTATAGAGTCCACATACGTCTAAACAACAGATAAGTTAAACCCATGAGAAAGAAAATTTCTATAAAATTTAACTAAATGATTCTAAAGTTTACGCAAGAATAATAGGCTAGTGACTGAAGAAAACATTCTTAAAAGAAGCATAAGGTTGACCTACCTTATCTGATATTAAAGTTAGAGTCAGATGAGAAAAATCAATTAACTCAAAACTAGCCTCATTGTACTGTAAATATATGTATATATATGTATATTTGCTTGCATTTAATGTATGATAAATGAAACAGTTATCAACTTCACTCAGAATAAAAGATACGTAAATGTAAATAATTCTTGCCTATTTGGTAAACATAAAATATTAATATTAGAGATAATATTGAATAGTATTGCCAAGTATCATAAATTGTTGGAGGGGGAGCAATAATAAATTGTAACAGCCTTCTTAGATAACGATACATTAAGTGCTTCAAAATATTCATAATCTTTAATGTGGCAACTTTATTTCCAGAAATCTCTCTTGAGGAAATATTCAGAAATGAAAAAATATTTATATGAAAAAGTTATTATAATAGACAAATTTTAAAATAGCATTATGTCTATGTACTGGGTAGTGATTAAACAAATCTGGTAATGACAAGGAAAAAAATGCATGTAGAATAATAATTTAAAAGAGAATACATTTCATGTATTTCATAAATAAAACTGTAAAAACTGTAGCAAAATACTAGGAGTAGATTTCTTAATATATTAATAGTGATTATCTCTGGATTCTGGAATATGAATAATTTTTATTATCCTCTTTATAACTTTCTGTGTTTTTCTAACTTTTTTACAATGAATATATGTCATTGTTAAAATAAATAAAGCATTACAATTCAATTAACTGTACACACAACTGTTGAATTTTAACCTGTAGATTAAAATAAATGAGATGAATGAGACTATACTGCATTTCAGCTCTAGAATACCTGATTTTTTCTATTTGACAGTAACTTCTTGAATAGTGCCTCTACTATTAACATGGTATAGTTTTTGCCATTCACCAATAAACTTTTAAACCTTAAACAAGTCACCTTACCTCTTTGATCTTTAGTTTCTTTGCCTGTAAAATGAAGTGTCTTCTAATTTTATTTTACTTTTTTAAAGAATTTTTCAAAATTTAGTTTTAGGCAGAGGGGAAGGGAGGGAGAAAGACAGAGAGAGAAATATCAATGTTTGGTTCCCTCTCACATACCCCCTTCTGGGGACCTGGCCCTCAACCCAGGCATGTGCCCTGATTGGGAATCAAACCAGCAACCTTTTGTCTCACAGGCCAGCACTCAATCCCCTTAGCCACACCAGCTAGGGCTAATTTTAAAACCTATAAATTAAGTGATGAAGATTTCTAAAACTCTATTTCTGACAGAATTGTCTTACTCGAACAATCTCTGTCTCTCTTACTGCACATTGTCTCCCAACGGATTCTCTTCTATGTTTAGTGCTTGTGGATCCTCCCTCCCTCATCCCTCCACATCTGATGATTGAAAAGCATTAAAATGTCATCCTCTTTCTGTCTGTTAGTACTGCTCAAGGCAACATCCAGAGCCTAGTGTCCCTATGTGAATATTGTTGACTGATTGTTCCCTGTGGGTCTTTGGTGATACTCATGGTCATAGAACTTACGAAAATCTGTAGATATTATAAGAATCTAGATATAAATGGACTGACTTAAGTTTGACAGTAAATTGCTATTGCCTTTGCCTTCTCATCTTAGCCTGTTTTGTTGGACCTCATTGATATATACTCTCTATAGTTACACACATTCCAGGCTTGGCTACATATGTGTAACATTCAAAATGATTAGGACTTTGGAAATATGTGTGTGTGTGTGTGTGTGTGTGTGTGTGTTTTGAAACCATTATGTATTATTTAAATTGCAGTTTGCCATCTGATATTTTCATTCTGTGGTGTTTACTAAAAATAAATTGCTACATTTAGTTGTTAATGTAAATAAGTCACTAAATATGCTAATAGATGATAATATGAATGTATATTGGTACCATATGATGAACTTCATGCAAATTCACTCACTTAATATCAAATATAATTGAATTTATTAAATTCTCTAGTATAAAGTTATAATAATTTTGTATACTTTAAGTGCAAAGCCAAATCTTAGAATTGAATCTCTTTGTCTAATTAGTCATCTGGGGTGGATTATATGCTATTTGATGCTTTCATGTGATTCATGTGTACTGATGAATTTCTTTTTAAACTTGCAGCAAATAGTGGCAGCAATAAATGCAGGGATTATACCGTTAGGAAACACCTCCAATCAAATCAGTCACTGGGACTTGGGAAGTTCCTTCTTCTTTGCTGGCACTGTTATTACAACCATAGGTAGGAGACAACTTATTTTGTTTTTGTTTTTGTTTTTTTTTAAATTTGGTACAGTTTGTGAGCTAAAATTTATTTGTTTGAACTTTTTTTTAACAGTCGGTCAAATGGTCTATATATGGTAGAAACTAGATTTTAGTAAATTTATATAGGAAAGAGGGTTTAAAGGTTTGAACAAGGAATGGTGGAAATGAGTTAGTTATTGTTTTAGAATAGTGAGTTGAGTTTAAAATATGTATGAAACTCAAGAGCAGTGCATTTGACATCTGACTAATGGATAGGAACTGCATGGAATGGCTTAAATTATAATTGTGGGGGGGGTCAAGTAGTTTTGAGTTTTCTTGCATCTTTGAGTCTTTGTCTGTAGAAAGAATGAATTGGAGTACAATTTTGACCTTTTTTTCATTATTTGATATCAACTTTTTCAATTTATAAATTTTAACTCTGCAGTATTTCAACAGATTGTTCTTGTTTTTATATATGTCTATAATAATTACTTCACAGCTTCCTTTTTATCCATTATGTGTTTCCCAAATAGCATGCATACATATATAAATGCTGAACTATGAGGATTACAAAAAGAATTAAAATTTAAACCCTTGCTCTTTTGCCTTTTAATCATGTCATTTGTTATGTTGAAAGAGTATATAATGACATGTGGTCTCCTTTTCGGGCTCGAGTGTGCGCATACCCAGCATCTTCTGGGAAGTAGAATGGGTACATGTGAATGACTTCTCTCCTGTTAGTCATTCAGTGCCCAAGAAATATCCAGAGGATATAAACACAGACCCCATTGCACAGCCGTATTTGCCGTGCTGTGGGGACCATATTATAGCCATCTTATTTAGTGGGAAAAGGTCATTTTAAACCATAATTTTCAAGACAGGGAAGGAAATAGGCTCATCACAATTATGAAGGAATTTTAAGAAAAAATGTGCAGAACTAAGGTCTGCCCTTCCACACATGCTTGTGATGAGATTTCCTCTCAGGGGCCTGATCTCTGATTTTTGGGATGTGAATTAATATTCTAAAAATTTTAATTTTTTTCTTTGATGTTAGTGACAAATGACAAAGTATAAAAGGTTTTCAAATTGGGACTTTATATCAAAGTCCTAAATGAGAAAACATGAACAATTTATGGATGAACGCTTGCTTAAAATTTGCCTCTGAGAGGAATTTGTAGTGACCCGTCATTCTGTGAATCCACTGTAATACTTTTGTGCTGGATCACTTGCCAGTGAAGTAAATACCTTAGCATGTTGATTTTTGCCTTTGTTATGAGGTCAAGGAACTGTGTTTACTCTTACATTTCCATTAGCTAGGTCAAAAAGTTGTGTGGCTGTGAAAATCTGGAAGAATGGCAACCTTGATTTCTAACCATAATGACAGGTTAACTTTGGAATTTAGACGTCTTGGTCATTTCTACTATGGAAATGACTGTTTATTGTGTAAACTACTTAGAGTCGGGAAGGAAAAAAAGCGCACAGACTGAGTGAGAATGGTTTGCCTCTGCCCAATGAAAACTCAGAAGTCCAAGTTATAACTCATCGTGACCACCACTAAATTATTGCACAAGAGACTGAGTCATTATACAGACTTACTGTTGCATCTCATGTTTATAAACAGTCTCATTTTTCGAATCCCAAATTCAGTAAGTTTTGCAGACATATCCTTTAACACATGAAAAAAATAAACCATTATTACCAGCCTTACCTCAAATTATAGCCATCAAGCACAGTAACTGATTATTTAGGTTGTTTAGGTAGCTGCCTGGCAGCCCAGGCCTCCTACTGTTCCATCTCGGGCTTTAGTTTTAGGTGGATTAAGTTATTCCAGGTCATCCACATTTATTTCATGATCTTTTACTCCTAGGTCAAGGCTACCTCCTCTGAACTTGGGCTGGATCAGGGGTGTCCAACCTGTAGCCTGCAAGTCACATGTGTCTCAGAATGGCTATGAATATGGCCCAATACAAAATTGTACATTTACTAAAGTATTATGAGATTATTTTTTTGTGATTACTTAGTGCAATGTATTTAACGTGTGGCCCAAGACAACTCTTCTTCTTCCAGTGTGGTCCAGAGGTGCCAAAAGGTTTGGCACACCCTAGGCACTAGGTTATGGCCTAGGGCTGGGTAAATTTTGACCTATTTCATAGGCGTGCATTTGATATCCAAATCATTATTCAATCAAATTTAAAGTATAATTACTAGTACTGCTAATGATAATAATTGTGTGAGCCTTGATGTGGTTTTTAGCAGTCATAGGAATTGTAACTTCTAGCATTATCTACATTGTATTAGTTATTTAAAAATAGAACTTGAGACAGTTTTGGAGAATAAATTGCAGCGGGTTTTATAAGATGCCTGATATAGGTAGTGCTTCATGGAACTGCATTGGCTGCAGTTGTCCAAGATTTTTTATTCAATGTTATTGATTTGCCTAAGAAGCCAAAGTGACCTCTGCTATTCAATGGGAATATGCCCAAGAGAAGTTCCATTACACAAAATGGATTATGAACATTTAGGGACTAATTTTAGAGAATCTCTTCATGTGTCTATGTCCTCTTTCCAAAAATCATACCCTTCCAAACTCTTCACAAATACCATTCCACCGTTGTACAGACTAAAGTCCATTTTTAACCATTCTCTCTCTCTCATACTTCACTTTCAGTCGATTCTGTCAGCTCTTCCTTTGGAGGAGATCCATAATTTGACTACTGCTCACCACTCAAACTGCTACCACTTTGGTCCAAGACAGCATCGTCCCGCTGATAACATCCCTGTAGAAAGGAGCTTCTGCTCAGAACCTTCTGTGGTTTCCAACTCAATCAGAGCAAAAACCATACTTCATTGCCTCTCTCACCATAGCCACAAGTTCTGTGAGGTCCAGGGATTTTTAGAGGTTTGAGTCTTTTCTCCATTCCCAGTGCCTGACACATAGTGGATGCTTAATAATTACTTTTTGGAATTAAAAACAAATAGGCATTCTAAATGGTATGAACTCTGGCTTATTAGACATGACATAATACTAAGTTGTTATCTATCATACTAAATTCTTAGCGCTTTCAATATATTACATTACTAACTTCTTTTGTTTGTTCATTTGTTGATTCAACAAATAATAAAAAACTATCACTCTGCTACTTTCATGATAAAAGATAAATTGCTTGCGTTTAAGTTGCGTACAGGCTGGTCGAGGGGCCAGTGGGCCAATAAGCATTTACCATATAGTGTGTCAATTGCATTTAAGAGCATTTAATGGGAATGGACAGGAGTGACACTTTCCATAGATATTGGCATAGGTGGGTAGGTAAGGAAGCGGCAAGGAATACTTCCCTTCCCTTAGTAAATGTCCTGTTTGAGACTGGAAAGACAGTAGGAATTTTCCAGGTGAATACAGGTGGAAAGGGAACATTTGAGACATTGGGAATTCATGTGGGCAAATACGTTCCATTTGGGAATTGCAGGTCCCCATTGCCTAGAATCATTGTTTGTTGTTGGAGGGATTCATGTTCAGGGCCATGTAAATTAGTGAGTCAGTGTAAGTACCTTTGGTTGGATTGGTGCTGCTTCTGCCATTGCCAGGGGTGTAAAGGACACGGTTTCTGCCTACAGTCCAGTTTGCAAGATAAAATTTACACATATGAAATAACTGAAGAATAGCAGAAACAGGTATAATTCCACGTTACTTGGAACCATGGTTTCAGTGCCATAAGAACTGAGACAGGAAAGATCACGTGGGCTGGAACTGAGAGGAAGGGCTTAATAAGAGGAGTTGAATGTGAACTATGCTTTGAAGAAAAAGTTTTGCTTTCGATTGATGAAGAGGAAAGAGCCTCCAAGTCTGTGACGTGGCTACGCAAAAATGCAGAGAGAGGAATGAACTTGATTTATTTTGATGATAAAATAGTAAGTATTTGAGTATGCCAGAGGAATTGTTTAAAGGAATAGTCGGAAATATTGTTGACCGATTCAGATGGGAAAACTACAGTTGACTATAATTTGAGTTTTGTGAATTTTGGACTTACTGTAGGACAGGACATGGATTTGTTTTCATTTTTGGCAAATGAGGGGCAGGGTAAAAGTGACATTAGAAGGAGTGTCTGTCAGGAAGAGGCTACATGGAGACTGGCAGCTAAGAGGGCAATTAGGAGGCATTTCAGTGCCCATGGAAGGGGCATGAGAGAATTGACTGGGGCGACCGGAGTTGCTGTTGAACAGTAAGAGTAAGACAAAATGTGAAAATAATTAGATGTAGGAATCAGCAGACTTTGGTGACCAACAACGAAGAGAGGAGTCAAAGTGTTGAATATTGAGGTGTGTGTTTAAGCAGCAAACTTGCAATTCATAAAGAGCCCTAGTCAAGCCTATGAAGAAAAAGGAGGAAAAAAATGGCCAAGATTTTATATGTTGTGATAAATGAGGAAGCTTCATTTTAGGAGCCCCCCACTTCAATTTTTATTTGTTTATTTTTTTAAATTTAGACAGACTAGGAATACGGGTGGGCAGGCTCCCTCTCAGAGCTCATATCAGGACTGAAGAGTCCAACAATCAATTATTAGCACATTAAAAACCAAGACCATTACTGATGGTCATAAATACTATACAAGAAGTTCACGTGCATTGATAGCGAGTGGATAGTGGAGCTGGGTAGAGGGTGGGGGATGTTCTAGAGGAGACAGAATCAGGACCTCTGAGCAGGTGACATTTAAGCTGAAACCTTGAGGATGGGAAGAAAGCCGCTAGGTAAAGAACAGTGAGTGCCAAACAAGTTCAGGCAAAGGGCTCAGCAATGGCAAAGACCCTGGAAAGGGCAGATTGGGGCATGTTCAAGGAATACGGATGGGTCCATGTGTCAGAGGCTAGAAGAAGCAAGGTTGGCAAGATTACTGTATTTTGCCATGTATAATGCACACTTTTCTAGCTCAAATTTTTAAGGGAAAAATAAGGATGCGCATTATACATGGGTATAATGATTATATACTGTGGATATAATAATGG